GCTTCAACAATACCCAAAATTTCGCCCACTCTCTGTTTTTGACCGACTTCAGAAATCGAAAGGATTATTCTACGCTTTCTCTCGTTTATCCCAGTCGCTTGCTATTACTCACCGAACTTGACTTGAGGCAGTCAACAAACGAATTACCTTCATCGGCCCCTCTGGCTCCTGTCATATCCACCTTCACCTCCTTCCTGCCTCGCATCGGCCACCTCCCGAAGACAACTTCTTGGCATTACGAGGCCTCCAGAAAACTCGACAAACAGCAGCATCCCGCCATTTTTTGGAACTTGGGGATTCTTGTTTGCCGTCATTGTTACCGAGTAATCACCCATCATTCTGGATCTCGATATCAAGAATCCCACTCAAGCAACACAACAACGCAATTAGCCAAAATGCGCTTCAACCTTACTTTTCCACTCGCCGTGCTGGGCCTCACATCAACTGTTCTTGCGGCACCTCAAGCAGCCAGAGATGTCAGCCAATCCTCACCACCGGCCATCGAAAAGCGCGAGGACACCAAGTACTTCCACGAGCCCTGCTGTGGCGAAGAGCTTGGCCACTACGATATCCGTTATTTCAAGCAAGCTGTGGGCTACGACGAGCACCGTGTTGTTCTCCGCAACCTCGTCCGCTCCTATCTGACTATTACCAAGAAGCTCAAGGTTGAGACATGGCTCGCCCACGGCACGCTTCTGGGTTGGTGGTGGAACGGCAAGATCATGCCCTGGGATTACGACCTCGATGTTCAGGTCTCGACGGCGACTCTGTACTGGATGGGCCAGAACCTGAACCGCACCGAGCACGACTTCGACTGGACCGACACGGATGGCAACGCCAGAAAGGAACGCTACCTGCTCGACGTCAACCCCCACGGCACTGACAAGGACCGCGGCGACGGCCAGAACATCATTGACGCCCGCTGGATCAACATGGCCAACGGTGCCTTTATCGATATTACTGGCCTCGCCGAGCGCGACCCCTCCGGAATGCCTGGTGTCTGGAGTTGTAAGAACTACCACCGCTACCGCACCACCGACCTTTTCCCCATGCGCGAGACCGAGTTCGAGGGTGTCCCCGCCACCATTCCCTACAGCTTTGAGCGCATTCTTTCCGAAGAGTACGGTACCAAAAGCTTGGTGACCACCGAATGGCAAGGGTAAGTTTAGAGATCTGCGTTGGGATCCATGCTTTTTGTTACCCCCAAATAAGCTTTGATCCTGGTGGCGGAATTCCGACTCTTATTTTCACGACTAACACGATATGCAGACACAAGTGGGAACCGGAGCAAAAGGAGTGGCTCAAGACACAGCAATAGCTGAAGGCTGTTTGCTTTCACTGATTGCAGAATCTGCATGACTGGAACGTGGATCAGTTCAAGCGATGGCTTTTCCAAGCCGCAACACGGCTTTTTCTTCTTTTTGTTCCGTTTTGAAGCAGAAAAACATGGGCATTTGGGCGATAGCAATTGGCGTCGCCGTACGCCTACATGCATTGGCGGCGTTTCCGGACATGGCATAGGCATGACATCAAGGCGTTCTAGGAAAGGGATATCATACCGGGAGGACACTCGGACGAGGTCTCTCTCTTTTTTTCTTTTCTTTTCACAGCATTCATGGGGGAGGCGGCAATTTGTACGAGTAACAGCATGGCTCACCTGTTGGGTAGAAAGATATCACTACCTTATATGACCCGTCGCATTGAGGGTTTAGATGGTCGTGCAAAATAGCATGATGCGAAACTACAATGCGAGCACCTATTTGGGCACCCACCAATCGTTTTGAGAGCGGATATTCATCGTGATTGAGTTGACTAACTACTCCGTGACCAGCGAGGTCAGTTGATGTCCCATGTCCAAGCCACCGCAACGCCTGCGCAATGCTAAATCCAGAAAGCCAAGTAACAGTAACACCATACGAACGCTTCAATGTTGCTCCGAGTACCATGCAGAACCTCTACGACGACGGGCCAGAGTCAGGCTTTCCTCCGTCCCTCCTCTCCATGTTCATTTTTTTAGCTCTTTCCTCTGCAGCCTTGGCCAGGATCTCTCGTCGGCTCAAGCCAGCGTTGCCACCACCGCTTCCTCCCACGACGAAATCACCACCTTCCCAACCACCGTGGTCCTCGACGTCCTCTTCCTCGTCTTGTCCCGGCGCATAGTACGAAGACCCCTCTCCGACCGTGTGTCCGCCATGTTTCCAGTCCGCCGCGTCGACTTCGCGCTCGATCTGATGGCACAAGTCCCAAAAGTTGCGGTCATGGTCGCTGTGTACGTTATGCGCCAGCTCATGGCACAACGTCTTGCGAATGGTCTTGTAATCTCTGTAGCCGTCGTGCGCATCCGTCCTCAGCCGCAATTCGATCGCTTCTCCATTATTGCGGTTCAGGCCGAGGAGTCGAGTCGTCCCCTCGTGGTTGGACTGCGTGTTGGACAGGGGCTCCATCTCCGTCAAGAGGCCGACGCTGAACTTGTGCTTGCGCATGGAGGCGCGGATGCCCGGATCCTCTTTCAGCTTCTCGAGAAGCGCCAGAGATCTCTCTGGACGCGGGAGGCCTGCTAGCGGCCGGACGGAGAGGAAAGTATAGGTGCTGTCCGCCTGTGCGCGGCCCTGGTCTCGCCTCCTCGAGGGCCGATTCTGTCTGCGGGCGGCGCTGCGGGCAGCGTTTCGTTTCGCGGCGAACTCGGATGCGGCTTGGAGGGAGGCGACCTCCTTGGCCTCGACGCCCATGAGCATGATCTTTTTGTTTTGTAGGTCGACGAGGGACATGTCGGGGTCTTTGAAGGGGGGTTTGAGGAGGCCGAGCTTCGGAACGATGAACTTCTGATTCGAGGCGGGGATCAAGAGGGTGTCTTCGACATCTTCAGAGAGGTGGGTGATTGTTCCATCCGGAGGGAATTTAAAGGTTTGTGGTGTGTTGCGGTGGGTGAGCGTTATGGTGATGGCTTCATCGGCGGAGTCGTCGTAGTCGGACTCGCAAGAGTGTGCTTCGGCCATGATGGTGGGGGTTTGAATTGGTGATCGTAGTCGGGTGTAGTGTATCAATCAAACTTGGTATTTTGCTAGATATTTGCAGGGTTGCAAGGAGTGCGCCAAGTTGTGCGTCTATATACAGAGGTGGGTGGCACTCATGGAAATGTTGGGAATCACAACGAGTGCGGGCTGAGGCGCAGATGGCCACCCCGTGATGGGACTCGCGGAGGTTTGTCATTCAGGCAGCTTTGTAATACGTCACATCTTGGCGCACCTGGGAACTCCCCGACCTCCGTCGCGTTCGGGGCAGCGGCCTGGACTTGAAAGTGGAGTCCGCGATTCCCGTAGCGCAGATTTGGGGATCCCGCTCCGATTACCTTACCTAAGCCTATGAGAACCCGTTCCTACATGGATGATTACCTCAGCTTCTCACTCCGAGTCGAGGTGCTGCACCTTAGGTTCCATCTTTCCATGCCGAAGGACCCCACAGCAGGTAGGTGCCTTAGCCTCCAGGAACGAAAGAGCGCAAAGTGTCTCATCTTCATTGCGTGCCTTACCTAAGCCCTGCCGGAAGTGTCTCGTATTAGGTAAGGCGGACAACAGCTCCCGTCGCCGCTGGCCAGTCACTGTAAGGTTTGGTACGAAGCACTGCGTAAGGTACCTGAGTGTTTAGTTGTGTGGCTCGAGTGTTCGGTTCCAGCTTCCAATGAGCTTGCAATCGCGTTCGTGTCCTTTCAACCCTCCTGGAAACCCAAAAAAGCTGCCAGTTGTGCTAAACGCAGTCTCGAAGCTCCCTCCCCAGCAACCCAAGAATTCCAACGTCACGACGCCAAAACATCGCGGACCCAAACAAAACGACACGTCACGAAGACGCTCGACGACGACGACGACGAAAACCACCAGCGTGCAAGGCGACCTGCACCCGCCTGATTACAACCATCCGATAAGCTGTGCGCGCGCTGTCACTGGCAGCTCCAAGCTCCCTCCGAGTTGAAGCTCCCTCCCGCCCCAAATCGTCACTCGCGATCCATCGCCTCGCCGCAATCAACCTGTCACGATGCTCAATCTCTTCCGCATTGCCGGTACGTGTCGCCAAAATCCTCGATACTACAACTGTTCGCTCCGGGGACTAACATGATGGGCTTGCAGGGGACTTGTCCCATCTTGCCAGTATCGGCATTCTCCTCCACAAGATGGTGCAGCTGAACGTGAGCTTTTCGATTCCCGCCATGTCGTCACACCCAGGGCCCTGATCTAATTCTTTCTCAGAGCTGTTCTGGTATTTCGTTCAAGTCGCAAGCCCTTTACTTCCTGGTCTACATCACCAGGTACCTTGGTAAGCCTCCATTGCCTTCCCTTCTCTCCGCTTGACCTAAACTAACCAGCGTTTGTTTGCCCCCCTCAGACTTGTTTACGACCTCTAGTCTATGGAACCTCGTTTTCAAGATCCTCTTTATCTCTTCCCAAGGGTACATCGTTTACCTGATGACGACCGCCTACAAGCCAACCAACGACCCCAACCAGGATACCTTCCGCGTCCAGTACCTGCTCGGCGGAGCTGCCGCCCTGGCCATCATCTTCCCCTACTCGTACACCTTCTGGGAGATCTCCTGGACCTTCTCTATCTGGCTCGAGGCCGTTGCCATCTTGCCTCAGCTCTTCATGCTTCAGCGCACTGGCGAGGCCGAGACCATCACCACCCACTACCTATTCGCCCTCGGTATCTACCGTGCCCTGTATATCCCCAACTGGATCTACCGTTACTTCACTGAAGTGAACCACAAGGTCGACTGGATCGCCATTACCGCCGGTATCATCCAGACTATCCTTTACAGTGACTTCTTCTGGATCTACTACACCAAGGTGATGAAGGGCAAGAAGTTCAAGCTGCCCGTTTAAAGTCGTCCTCTCCTACCCACGAGGTTTCGCACGGCTTCCGACCTGGAAACATCCGCCAGGTTGCGGACGCTGCGGAACACAGAGTCATGGGCTGTAACAACAAAAGCTATGAACAAGCGCTGGAGCCAAATGGCGGACCATGACCTTGTTCTTATTTTCGTCCAGTCTCTCAACAAGTATTGGGATGTTCTCAGGCACACAACGCAAAACCAGAAAAAAAAGGGTTTGGCCTCAGGTTCAAGGATAGGGAATATCCTCCGCGACGGATGGATGCATGGCTGGCGTTGGGAGATATGGTTAGTTTTTTGCATGGGCGGCCAGACAGGCAGGAATCCAATCCACGCACAGATGGATGTGTTGGTTGAGCTGCTCACAATGTGCCCACAGATCGGCATGATCGAGAACGAACAGAAAGAAGACCGGGACACCCACTGGTATATAGATGGTCAATGTGAAGAACGTTTCCAAATTTCTACAACCCTCACGCTCGCGCTTGCGCAACATGTTTCTCCCCACCCATCCACACTCACCTTACTCAACGCTCTTCACAATCGCAAACACGCAACTCGCGCACGCACTTCTCAGCGGCTATGGCACGCGTTTGGTGACTCGTTCTTTTCGGTTAGTTCGCCGGCTTCCGAAATCTTGTTGCGGTTCTTGGGACGTCGAGTAAAGGTCTGTCCCTGTTGGCTTATAAGTTTTCGTTGCCTTTGCCTAACTTGGAGGGGGAACCAGATCTTGAACAAGGGCAATCTGGTGTGGTGGCAGTCGGCGGACGATTCAAGGTAATGGATGTCGCCATCGGTTCCTTTTGGTTCCCCCGGCCACCCCGACCTTTCGACCTTGACTTGCTCCCGGGTCCGAGTCAAGTGACCCTGGACAGGGATATGCGACACCAAGGAGCCTAAGGATCGACGCTGTTGGAAGACGATCCCTTAATTGTAATTCTTCTCCGCCTGGGAGCCTCAACGGACCAGGGATTCAGTCCAACTTTGGCTCTTGAGACAACACCAAGCTCGGAACGCAGCCGAAGGTTGATGCCGCTGGCGCAACAAACACCTCCCAACTGCAGGCATAAACTTTTCTGTCGTTTCTGTCAGCGTGCTGTTTCCGAATTCACTTGTGAAACCATGCATGCATTACAGCCAACTGGGCTCTGGGCGTCTGACCGAATAAGAAGATGGGACGGTGGCGCGCTAATCTGATCCCCCCCAGTAGGCGGCTGCCACTATCGTGACGAAAGAAGCCGCCGTGTGGCCCCGTCCCTCAACCCTCAACCCTCAACCCTCCTCCCCAGGTTCCTACTCCAATGAAGCCGACTGGATTATCTGGGATGTGATATCGGCGAGGAGACGGGGCCAACGAGTCTCGACCCGCGCCGGCGTTGCCCAGGTAGGCTGAAAGCCGTGGGGCTCTTATTCTTCGATGGTTAGGATGAAGCGGGCTCATGGGCCATAACATGGGCGAGGGCCGCTGACCGGGCCGCCTGAAGCCTGTTCTTCTCTGGTTTGGTCTTTTTCTTGTGTTATTCCTCTCCAGTTCGTTTTGAGTACTCTTGCTGATTATTAGTCTTCTTGTTAATGGTGATTTGAGATTTGCTTCTTTCGTTCGGACTACCTACTACGGATAATATGATTACGGTGAAGAGGAGGAACACATAATTCGACGACAATGAAATCATGGTGAAGGCTTGCCTCCCACGAATAGTACTGCTATGTGTTCTGGCCTCACTTATGTTGGCGGCAGTCGCGGCGGATGAAGGAAGTGGGCGAAGAGCAAGATGGGTGAACAACGGAGGAGACCACAGGTCACCGGCGGAACCTCAAAGGAGGAGGAGGAGGGGGGCAGGCCATGATATGGTCGAGGACTTATTGGGCAAGAGGGTGTTGCCGCCGACGGCATCAACAGATGACAACAAGCCGGCCCGCCTTGAAGACCGTGTCGTGTTATCGGTGCCGACACCAGCGGCTCTCTTCGGGCGACAAGCAATCGACAACCCCATTGACGCCATCAACTCGGCATCTCGATCAGCACAGCAGGCCATTGCCTCGGCATCCCAGTCTGCTCGAGAAGCTATCCAACAAGCAAACGACCAAGTGAGACAGGCCGGAGATCGACAGCGGCAGGCGGAGGAGCAGGCGAGGCAGGCCAACGATGCGGCCACCCGGGCCTCGATATCGGCCAACAATGCCGTCGTCCAGGCACAGGCAAGCGCTAAGGAGGGAATACTCAACGCCCAGAACGCGGCCAAGGAGAGTGCGAGCAAGCAGGTTGCGGACAACTTTGCCATGGTTACGGCGAGTGCGCAGACGCAGCTGGCTTCTCAGGTTGCGAGCATACAAGCCAGTGCCAGCGCAAGTGCTGCGCAAGCCATTGCTGTTGCGACACAATCCGCTAGTGCGGCTATATCGAATGCTCAGCAGCAGGCACAGCAGCAAATTCAAGCTGCGAGAGTACGTGGTTCTTTCGTGGTCACGCCGTGGTCACTCCGTGGTTGTGTGTCATTCAAGACTTCTAACCTTTTAACACAGGACGATGCAAATTTACGCGTATCACAAGCACAAGGGGCCGCAGTTTCAGTTACCCAGGCGGCTCTCGCCGTCGTGGGAGCCATCATTGGCTCATCTCTTCTCACCATACTGGGCTTCTACATCTTTACTCGTTACCGGCGTAACAAGCGCAAGGACCAGACGGCGCGGGAGCTCCGTCGTGAAATCAGCTACCCGAAGCAGAATACTCTGATGACGACAAACGCGCTGGCTATAAACAATGGCTACCCGCAAGATGTCAAGCGTCCAATATCACCGACCCGTCCAGAAACAGCACGTACGACGGGGTCATCTGGAGGCATGGGCTACGCGGTCAGTGATTTCGGCGATGGGCAGCCCAACTTTTCTCGACAGACGACTTTTGTGAGCAGTACCGCGCCGCAGATGGGCATGGGTACGATACAGAGGGAACAGTCGGTGTCGAGAAGGCCGGTGCCGCCTTCGCCCAAGAAGCCGCCCTATTCTCTATTCCCGCCAAGGTCTAGGGATGGCACGCCGGCGACGTCGTTGCCTGCCACCCCGGCCCCTGCGCGAGATCGAGAAAAGGAGGCCCCCCCTCCTCTCACGATTAATCCAGGCACAGGCCCACCGCCTGCATCAGTACAAGCACAGGCACAGGGTCCGGCAAACAATGAAAAGCTGGATAGGGTGGACGAGGAAAGCGATGAGTTTGGGGAGGGCACAAAGAACTGGTTGAGACGGACGCAGACCGTGAGTCCGTTTGGGGACCTGGCAGATACCCCGACAACGGAGAAGGATCCGAATTGGCCATTTGCGAGGTCTAATTCGCCGCCTCCGCCAACAAGATGAGAGCGATGGGCCTAGAGGCACGCGGGGTTGAAAATGGTACAGGAAGGGAGAGCCACCGACGGTGGTTCTCAATTCATCGATTGACAGGTATCAGAAAAGAAACGGAAACTTTCTAATACGCTCAGATTTCCCTGGGCAACTTTCATTATTCCATTGTTCTATTATCTATTCCTCAGGGTCATGATACCCAAACGTTCATATTTTTACTTGAAGTATAATACAAAAATGTATTATGATGGTATGACATTCATGCAAGACGAGAGACGGAGGTCGTCAGTAATCGCCCGCTTCTTCCGCCATACGATGAGTGAGACAGAGAGAGAGAGGGTGGGTGGTCTGGTGTCCGTGTGTCTTGCTGGTGTGTTGGATCGAAGCTTGGCAACAGAGAGTTTGGTCTCAAGTTCGAGGCCGCCTCCACAAAGGACCATCATTGCCGACACCTTTTCTGCCTCGACTACTTTTACCGCAGGTGTTGACGAGGGTGTGTTGCCGAGTAGTCGGGCTCGTATCTCCGGTTGCTGAGTTGACTTTATTCGATGCCCAGAGCCGGCAGCACGTGGGAGAGGAGGATAGTGGAGAGGATGAGGAGGTTGCGGCATCCGCGCCCGTGGGCGAACCGGTTTCTATGCAACTCTGTTAGAGAACTGGTCCCCCTCTCTCCGCAGTGTTTGATCGACGATTGACAGGTGAAGATGACTCTGTATTTCTCCCTCTCTCTCACACATCCTCTCACCCGTGTCACATACACTCTCTTAGATTTCCACTAGTTTTGTGTGTGCGTTTATTTGTATGTTGACGCCATCCTTTGGGTTTCGCTCAAACACCTGATCGCTTACCTCGATGCCCAGAGGTGGAATCTGATGAACGACCGGAGGAACTGAGGCAAAGCTTTTGATCAAAGTCTATCGCGATGCCCAGGATAGACGGTAGGGAAGCGTCGATCTGCACGGCCTCTAGTTCACGTTGTAGGCGATCAATGTCCCTTTCGTTGTGGGCATTGTTATCATCATCGCCGTCATCTTCACAGCGATCCTCGTCTTGTACTTGATGCTGGCCCTCGGCTGCCTTGCGTCGGAGGACGGCGATCTGCTGCTGTAGTTGCCGCGCGAGGTATCGATCCATCTCGCTGGGTGACGAAGATGTCACAGAGATGGCGCCCCGGCGACGAGGCCGTCTTGATGTGGATTCCGGGGGTAAAGAAAAGGAACGGGGCGCGTCATGACGGGTAAGGAATAGGCCATCTGGGACAGAGTGGCTCCATAGACCCGATGAGGAGGTTTTCCGTGATGACGGGCGAGGTGGTGTCCATAGCCACTGGAAGTAGGCAATATCCTCCGCGCGACTTCTTTTTAAAGGTGGTTCTTGGTATTCCTCTTCAACTTCTTCTGCCTGGCGCTTCCTTCGCTGGCTTGTTTGGGCCATGTTGGTGGTTCATGCAAGGACCGGGATCCTCGCTTTCGAGGCTCTCTGTTGACTAGAGGTGATGGCTCTGAGACTCAGGTACCTCTAAGGTTGAACAGCCAGTCTTTCCGATTTGTGAGGTCAATGAAACTAAGCAACGATCTGATGTAACGATGCTAGAGCTTCGAATGAACAATGCCCCGTTGTGGAGTTGAAGAGGTAAGATGAAGTGAAATGAGGTGATGAGACCGTGACTGAAGCTGTGTCCCGGTGCCGGTTTGTGCGCTGGCGGGGTAAAATCGACGGTCCGCCGCCTGGCGCGAGCTTCACGTTCCGGATCGAGCTAAATGGTTTCTCTCGGGGAAACAAAGATGTCCATTCCACAAGTCTGTCTAGCCCTTCTCAGGGCCCATCGTGGCCGCTTTGCATGATTTCTCGGATCCTTGGGACGTAGTATGAAGTTTGGGTCCGGAAAAAAGATGAGACCTGTCATCTCGGTCTCTTCGGAAACGTTCTGGTATAGTTCCCTCTTTTTCCATATCATTACACATCCACACCGGTATGAGGAGGAACTGGTGTCGTCGGTGCTTCGTCCCATCTTTTCTGTTGCGGATGAAAGTTTCAGTCGGTTCGCCAAGATTTCGAAATGCAGATGAGACTGTAACTGCCGGCGGGCTTTTGTCCCGTCTTCACCCTAGCCGAAGCTTGTTATACTATGTGCAGCGTGAACTTGAAGACGGGATGACCCGGCGAGGTGGATCACAATCCGGCGTGACGGTTTTGTAAGCTCGGGTCAAAAACTAGACAATAGTAGCCCTACGTACGTCCACTCGGTATAAAACATGCGGGATACAACATCGCCCCCCCTGTCGCTGGGAACCCGAGAATATCGGTTGCAGGATGATGTGTGCTTCTGAGGCTCTTCTTCCAAATTAGAGAGTGACTCTTCCTTTATCTTGCTGACCAAGACTGCATCTGTCCCAAAAGGGCGTCCGTTGCTCATTTGAGCAATGCATCTGTTAAGGGACCACACCCTATACCGTCTCATATAGGTATGATCACCGGATGGCAGACCCGATCTGTCGAAACGCTAGGCCTGAACTCTCGGCCATTGATGCAATGTTTGTGATGCTATTGCCCGCTCACAACTCTTTACATATAATACTATGCTGGCTATAGATCATGCCGAGGTTCTCCGTCATCAATCTGTCAACCCCGTCAACCGATTCTGAACAAGTATCCCACCTCATAGCCGATGAGGTGACCTCTGCCATCTCGTCTCTTCTGTCGCCCTCAAACTTAGGCCGTCATCCGAATGCGCAAGCCCCAGCCAGAAACACTGAGCATGAGATCTTAGCAAACACCTCTTAGCCAACACCTACTCCTCCGAACCTCGCATCTCAGCTGACGAGCCTCATTCGGCAACATCAATCCTCCATGGCCCAGTTGGCTAAGGCGTCCGACTGTTAATCGGGAGATCCCTGGTTCGAGCCCAGGTGGAGGAGTTCCAACGCTGTTGCGGGTGCTCGCTTTTGCTTTTGCGCTTCCCTGGGGCGTTGCGGCGGCCTTGGTCGGTGACGATGTGAGGTGGTGATGTGGGGAGTCAAGGGACGGTAGATATTTTGCGGGGAATCAAGGTTTCTCGAATGGTGATACACAATGTGAAATGCTATGCTGGGTGGGTATCGAGCAAACTAATCATAATCATACAACAAAGAACACAAGGAGGGCTGGCATGGAAGTTCCCACACACTCCTTCGAAGAGCCAACCGGGCGTATTAGCGACGACTTGCCGAACTCCATTGCCTATCCCATTGCTCCATCTGTCCAGCTACACGATTGGGCCTAGCCGACGACTGGCCCGTGACCCAGAATCTGTCCATCGGGTCGGATGAGCGTGAGTAGCTTGTGGTAGTATATGACGTTTGATTGGCAGGTGTATCACGTCTCTGCCCGCCGGTGTTTGCAGACGTGGAATATTGAGAGTAGCTGGCAGGCATTAGGATCGGTCTGGCAGGGTGCAAGGGGAGAAGTGAGAGATTGGACGTCGTACCTCGGAGCGGGACGCTGGTAGTAGCTAGATCCTGACATATTGCGTTGTGGAGGGGCGGGTATGATGAGGGTGGTGACAAAAGTGCAAGATGGGTGGATGTTGGTTGTTAGGATCGTGAAGATGAAGTTGGTTTGGCCTGGCCTTGAAAACTACACGGCAACCCAACAGATCAGGCCTTATTATATATGAAAGGATGTAAGTGAGAGATGGCCCAGCTTGAACTTGGGAATAGGCAGCTGTATCGCCCGCTGCAAATACAAACCACGAGGAAGTGGACAAAACACATCATAGTGCATCCTTTTTCGAAACGATACCAGTTGGTATTGTGAAGGAACCATACCCAGGGGCACCGGGTATCATGGTGGAATTAGGATTGAAAGGGAATAGTTAGGAATTACAATCGGAAAAAATGGAGTGTTCATACACCAGAGCATGGCTGTGATGTTACGGAGAATATTGAAGATGAGCGACAGGGGAAGCGACCGAGCGCCGCAGTCACTTGACGGTAAAGACTGTCATGGGAACATTGGATTAGGAACGTAAAGATTGAAGCATTGGCTGGCAGTGAGCGACAAGCTCCTTTCCCGACCTAGAGAACTGTTAGACTGGCGGCAATAATGCTTGACAGTAATGTTGAAGGGTAGAAGTCGGAATAGAGAAAATGCATCTGGAAAAAAACCGGAGGATTGAGGACAAGGGGAGGGTTGATCCCGGTTGGAACTGGCCAGAACCGTCGCGCATGGAGGGAGCTTGGGTAACTTTTTCGAAGCTTCCATTGCATCGCCAAGTAGTTTTGCCACTCGCGTGGATCTGGGATGACTTCCGGGAGATAGACGTGCAGGGATGAGACATCGGACAGGCGGCGGCTTCTTTCAGAGGTAGGTAAGATAGTAACAGGCACTTTGTGTGATAGGCATGCAGGCGGGCTGGCTTGAGAGGGCAGATGTTGGCGGGCGGGACTATGTATCGCTAGTTTGCGTGGCTGTCGAGACCCAGCGCGGGATGGATGCGAGTAAGAGGGTCCGCGCTATGTTCTCGTGTCCGTGGAACATTCGGGGAAGAGTTAGGAGGCATGGGGGCACGCAGGCTAGTCTGGGCTGAAAGGCTTTACGTACCTAGGTATCGCAAGAGCCTGGCGCCTGGTCAAGACCCAGACTTGAACAGAGGGGCGCGGTGAACGGGATCTAAGCTTCACTTGCCCTTAAGGAATAGCTTGGCGAGCGTGGATGGTGATTTGCAGGAGGGCCGCCAGACGATCGCCACCATCAAAACCCCAACTTTTTCGCCTCGCCGTTTGGGGGCGGGGCATATCGACGTTGTGGGAACTGGGATCCAGGCCATGACATACGTGCTGGAGATGAGAGTCAGTGACGTGAAGCATACGAGACAAGGAGGGAGAGAGGTGATGCTGAGGCATCCAGAGCTATCAATGGCGCAGACCTACAATATTCAACTTGACTCTGTGGCTCAGTTGCAATTCATGCCAAGATCAACATCACTCGAAACAGGTCACACCGCAAAGAAGAATCCTGGGCTCGTCGAGGCCGCCGATGACTTACTTGTCTATCTGCAGCGAGCGTTGGTGCTGAGTTACATTGCAACACATTACAATACCCAGGCGTTCAATCTGATGCACCACACCCACACCCACCTCATCGACAACGAGCAAAGGTATGGATTATGGATGTGGCTGGGTTTGCGGGCGGTGCTTCGCGGAAGGATGGAGTACAACCGAGAGGCGTAGCACACTGAGAAGCATTTGGGCCGAGAATTGGCTACATGCTACGGAGTAGCCAAGCGGAGAATGAAGCATTTCTGTGTTGTCACGGCTCATGGCAAATTGCCCTGTTTTTTCCCCCCTTACAAAGAATGGAATTGCAATCACTCTCATCATTGTCTTTTCAATGCTTAACGAGCCATAGAATTGAGCGAGTTGCTCAACTTTCGCCAGACCCCAATTCAATTTCAGTCAGGTGTAGTAAGAGATACATAACCACTATTGCCGATTTATCAAGGCAGCGTAGAAGAAAATGTTTGCGACCGAATGCCATTTCAATTACGGACCGCTCATTTACAAAGCAATCTTGCTCGAAGCTCAAGTAAGGGATTTCCCTCTCTCACAACTCACTCCGGACGGAAAGATTAGACTTCTATCCGTCTCCGTATGAGCCCAGAGAAGTGCCTAGGTAATACCTAGCAGTCGCATCTCATTCTCGCACGTCATTTTCCCGAGCTGCTGTCCTGTGGTAGCGCGAGGGCTACACCAACCTGGCTCAGCCACACAACCAGTCCCTCCCTCTCAACTCTGCCTGACAGGGCATTTTCTGATCCCCCCACTCATTCACTCACTCATTCGCTCACACACACTCGGTCGCTTACAATGTTTGCTGCTGCGGTTCACAGTAGCAACTCGAATCCACTGCGGCCCGTCCGAGTCCCTCTTCCCTACCGATACGCTATCCGTCATTGTGCGACGCGGTCACTGTGTTTGGGATGAAGCTATCTTCATCTCATTGCTCTCGATTCTTCTTTTCCCCGTGGAACAAGAGAGAAGACAGTCGCGGATAGCGGCTTCTGGCACCATTGTAACCGCTGACGCCGAGAACGGATGACGGGGGATCGTTGTCAATGGGCGCTTACTGTGACTGGGATTCGCTCCTAGAGTGCTTCTACGGATAGCCGAGCAACTCAAAGCACCAGTAATTCCGTTGCCTAAATCCAACGCTTTATTGAGGCAGCTCTCTGTGAGCTGACCGAAGCTGTCTCACAAACACTCCTTTGCCCGTCAAGAACTGGCACAAAATCTCAACTTCCTCACTATCCTGAAAGTAAATGGATATTGAGAATCCTCCTCATCCGTCACAACAAACTTGGTCCCATACTGCTCAGTCTGATGAAGTCCGGAAAACCCCCCCGCCCCCCGGGGTGCCCCCTTGGCTCACAGCTGAGCCTCTGTCCCCTGCAACCC